GCGCTTACAGGCTGCTCATATAGCCTTAGTACAGTCCCCTTCACTCATGCGCTTACAGGGCTGTCATATAGGCCTTAGTACAGTCCCTTCACTCATGCGCTTACAGGGGCCCGTCATATAGCCTAGTACAGTCCCCTTCACTCATGCGCTTACAGGCTCGTCATAGCCTTAGTACAGTCCCCTTCACTCATGCGCGCTTACAGGCCTCGCATATAGCCCTTAGTACAGTCCCCATCACTGGTGGCGTTTACAGGGCTCGTCATATAGCTCAGGTACAGTCCCCTTCACTGTGCGTTTACAGGGGCTCTCATATAGCCTAGGTACACAGTCCCTTCACCCGGTGCTTACAGGGGCCTGTCATATAGCCTAGGTACAGTCCTTCACTGGTGCGTTTACAGGGCTCGTCATATAGCCTAGGTACAGCCCCTCTCACTCAAGGCGTTTACAGGGCTGCTCATATGCCTAGGTACAGTCCCCCACTGGTGCGTTTACAGGGCCTGTCATATAGCTGCACGACAGTCCCTTCACCATGCACTTACAGGGCTCGTCATAGCCTTGTGTACAGTCCCCTTCACTCATGCGTTTACAGGGCCTGTCATATAGTACAGTCCCTCATCATACGGGGCTCGTCATATAGCTCAGGTACAGTCCCCTTCACTATGCGTTTACAGGGGCTCGTCATATAAACATTCCACAAATCATTATCGTTGAAATATTTGTTTCATATTATTTTCCTTTGATTCCATAGTCTGTTATTGTGAGTGCCCTTCCGTCTAATGTAAACAAACACAGCCTTGCCACAGTGCACTTAACCTGATTAGTCCCTGTAAACGCACAGGTAAAGGACTGTACCTAGGTTATATGACGATCCTGTAAACGCACAAGTGAAGGGACTGACTAAGAATAAATGACGAGCCCGTAAATGCACTAGTGAAGGGACTGTACCAAGCTATATGACGAGCCCCTGTACACGCCTAGTGAGACTGTACCAAGGCTATATGACGAGCCCCTGTAGACGCATCAGTGAAGGAACACTAAGGCTATATGACGAGCCCTGTAAACGCACTAGTGAAGGATTACTAAGTTTATATAACTAGCCCCTGCAAACGCACTGGTGAAGGACTGTACTAAGGCTATATGACGAGCCTCTGTAAACGCACTAGTGAAAGAGACTGTACCAAGGCTATATGACGAGCCCCTGTAAACGCACTAGTGAAGGAGACTGTACAAAGTTTATATAACTAGCCCCTGTAAACGCACTAGTGAAGGGGACTGTACTAAGGCTATATGACGAGCCCCTGTAAACGCACTAGTGAAGGAGACTGTACAAAGTTTATATAACTAGCCCCTGTAAACGCACTAGTGAAGGGGACTGTACTAAGGCTATATGACGAGCCCCTGTAAACGCACTAGTGAAGGGCACTCTAACGAAGTAGGTATCTTTAGGCTACGGCAGCCCATACTTGACAGTAAGGAGATAACAATAGAAAGTGTTGTGTATGAAGTGTTGTGTAAGACAAGTGTAGAAAGTTGAAGGATAACGCTGAGACAGGAAGTGGAAATATTCACACATACTTGCTCGTATCCTCAACTTACATACACACTGTAGAAAGGAATCCTTAGCTTAGCCATTGACAACAGCATCTTATACCAATTATCTGTGTATAATTACCATAAATACCCATATATAACCTTGTCTCTTGCCACAACTTAAACACGCAAACATTTTATTACAACCAGACACTCAAACAATTTTACACTGCGACAACGGCATAATCAATTTGTTGTGTTGCTACAGTTAGTTGTTGTGTACTTGTCAGAAGGCATCTCGACCCAGTTGCATATTCTAATTTGATTTACATGATAAATCCGACACTCGCACCATCAGTAGTTGTGACTGCCTCGAGGTTGTTATGGATGTACTGTACTGCACGTCACCGTCTGTACCAGTACACGTCACCGTCTGTACTACTCTTGTGTGTACACGTCACCGTCTGTACTACTCTTGTGTGTACACGTCACCGTCTGTACTACTTTGTGTGTTAAGGCGTCTTGTTACAGGTTCCAATTTGTGTTTGTGTTTGTGTTCTGTAAAATTAAATGATTTTCGTTGTGTTAAATGTACATAAAATTAAGTTCCATTATGACTCTGAACACTTGAATTACCTTTGAGCATATGGAAAAATAGCATTAGTGATTAGGCGAGAACCTTGTCAGTAAATCATGTAATCAACTTTTAAATAAATAACAAATACAATATCTCATAATTAACTGAATTGTGATATTTGTTAGTTTATGAGAGAGAGAGAGAGAGAGAGAGAGAGAGAGAGAGAGAGAGAGAGAGAGTAATTAATTCTTGTTCACTTAGAGGAACAACTAACATCTCTGTAGGTTTGTGTATTACCTCTACTGACGGTGCCTTACTGATGTTCTGATCCACACACACACACACACACACACACACACACACACACACACACACACACCACACACACATGACACACACACGGACACACACACACACACACACACACACACACACACACGTGATCCCCTCATAACACCATCTGCGAGGGAATTATTACACCATCAGGCCCCTCATACACCATCTGTGAGGAATTACTACACCACATCAGGGTCCTCATAACACCAATGAGGGAACTCACTACATCATCAGCCCCCGTAACACCATCTGGAGGGAATTACTACACCACATCAGGCCCCCAATAACACCATCTGTGAGGAATTACTACACCACATCAGGCCCCTCATAACACCATCTGTGAGGGAATTACTACACCACATCAGGCCCCTCATACACCATCTGTGAGGGAATTACTACACCACATCAGGCCCTTATAACACCATCTGTGAGGGAATTACTACACCACATCAGGCCCCTCATAACACCATCTGTGAGGGAAATACACACCACATCAGGCCCCCCATAACACCATCTGTGAGGGAATTACTACACCACATCAGGCCCTCATAACACCATCTGTGAGGGAATTACTACACCACATCAGGCCCCCATAACACCATCTGTGAGGAATTACTACACCACATCAGGCCCCTCAACACCATCTGTGAGGAATTACTACACCACATCAGGCCCCTCGTAACACCATCTGTGAGGGAATTACTACATCATCAGGCCCCTCATAACACCATCTGTGAGGGAATTACTACACCACATCAGGTCCTCGTACACCATCTGTGAGGGAATTACCACCACGTCAAGCCCTCATAACACCACCTGTGAGGAACTAGTACTCCACGTGATGCCTCATAACGCCATCTGTGAGAATTAACACGCCATGTGATGCCTCATACACCATCTGTGAGGAATTACTACACCACATCAGGCCCTCATACACCATCTGTGAGGGAATTGCACCACGTCAAGCCCCTCATAACACCACCTGTGAGGGAACTAGTACTCCACGTGATGCCCCCTATAACACCATCTGTAGGGAATTACCACGCCATGTGATGCCCTCATACACCATCTGTGAGGGAAATTACTACACCACATCAGGCCCCTCATACACCATCTGTGAGGGAATTACTGCACCACGTCAGCCCCTCATAACACCCAGAGGGAACTAGTACCCCACGTGATGCCCCTCATAACACCACCTGTGAGGAACTAGTACTCCACGTGATGCCCCTCATACACCATCTGTGAGGGAATATCACGCCATGTGATCCCCCTCACACACCATCTGTGAGGAATTACACCACATCAGGTCCCTCATACACCATCTGTGAGGAATTACTGCACCACGTCAGCCCCTCATAACACCACCTGTGAGGGAACCCTGCACTCCACGTGATGCCCCTCATAACACCATCTGTGAGGGAGTTACCACGCCATGTGATGCCCCTCATACACCATCTGTAGGGAATTACTACACCACATCAGGCCCCTCATACACCATCTGTGAGGGAATTACTGCACCACGTCAAGCCTCATAACACCACCCTGAGGGAACTAGTACTCCACGTGATCCTCATAACACCCATCTGTGAGGAGTTACTACACCACATCAGGCCCCTCATACACCATCTGTGAGGAATTACTACACCACATCAGGCCCCTCATACACCATCTGTGAGGGAATTACTGCACCACGTCAAGCCCCTCATAACACCACCTGTGAGGGAACTAGTACCTCACGTGATGCCCTCATAACGCCATCTGTGAGAGAGTTACTACACTACGTGTCTGCTGTTCAACACCTCAGCTCACATTTTCTACGTGTGTAAACATTAATCTGAATGTTCACTGTATGTTCCTTCACCTTCTAATGAAGGCTTTTGTTAAACCACCAATGTATGTAATAAGTCATTTATGTCCAATGTATATTTTCAGCCTTCGGGCTGCAGAACTTTTTCAAGAAACCGTCAATTATTATTATTATTATTATTACACACATCAAACACACACTCACACATCCACACACACACACACACATCACAACGCACACACACACATCACACACACATACACACACGCACACACACACACATTCACACACACCACCACACACACACACACACGACACACACACACACACACACACACACGCACACACACACACACACACCATTTTCATCTTTCTTTCCTTCTCCATCTTCTCCTTCCTCCTCTTGAGCCACCACCTCCTCGATCTCCTCCTCCCCGTGCCTCCTCCTCTTGCTCCCCAAAAAAGAAAAACTTCCTTCGTCATTTTTCTCAGAGCGTGGCGTGGCGTGGTGGTGGTCGCCTCTGGGAGTTCTGATGTCCCCGTATGTGCTTATCAACTTTGCCAGTTTGTCGACGACCCAACCAAGTTCTGAATTGTTTCCGCCGTCCTCGACACACGCCCGCTGCTGCCCAACTTACCCTCCGGGAGACAGACCCTTCACTATCTTGTATAGTTTATTTAGTTTTAGTAAGTAAAGGATGATCTAGAGGCCTCAGACCACTGACCCCAGAACCTACCGGACCCCAGAACCTACCGGACCCCAGAACCTGCGGACCCCAGAACCTACCGGACCCCAGAACCTACCGGACCCCAGACCTTCCGGGCCTCAGACCACTGGACCCCAGAACTGGACTCCAGAACCTACCCACCCCAGACCTTCGGGCCTCAGACCACTAGACCCCAGAACCTACCGGACTCCAGAACCTACCGTACCCCAGACCTTCGGGCCTCAGACCACTGGACCCCAGAACCTACCGGACTCCAGAACCTACCATGCCCCCCAGACCTTCCGGGCCTCCAGACCACTGGACCCCAGAACCTACCGGACTCCAGAACCTACCGTACCCCAGACCTTCGGGCCTCAGACCACTGGACCCCAAGACCTACGGACTCCAGAACCTCCTGCCCCAGACCTTCCGGGCCTCAGACCACTGGACCCCAGAACCTGGACTCCAGAACCCACCGTGCCCCAGACCTTCCGGGCCTCAGACCACTGGACCCCAGAACCTACCGGACTCCAGAACCTACCGTGCCCCAGACCTTCCGGGCCTCAGACCACTGGACCCCCAGAACCTACCGGACTCCGAACCTACCGCACCCCAGACCTTCGGGCCTCAGACCACTGGACCCCAGAACCTACCGGACTCCAGAACCTACCGTACCCCAGACCTTCCGGGCCCCAGACCACAGGACCCCAGAACCTACCGGACTCCAGAACCTACACTACCCCCAGACCTTCCGGGCCTCAGACCACTGGACCCCAGAACCTACCGGACTCCCAGAACCTACCGTACCCCAGACCTTCCGGGCCTCAGACCACTGGACCCCAGAACCTACCGGACTCAGAACCTACCGTGCCCCCAGACCTTCAGGGCCTCAGACCACTGGACCCCAGAACCTACCGGACTCCAGAACCTACCGTACCCCAGACCTTCCGGGCCTCAGACCACTGGACCCCAGAACCTACTGGACCCCAGAACTTCTGGGCCTCAGACCCACCTGGACCCCCAGAACCTACAGGACCCCAGAACTTCTGGGCCTCAGACCACTGGACCCCCAGAACCTACCAGACCCCAGAACCTCCAGACCCCAGAACCTGCAGACCCCAGAACCTACCGGACCCCAGAACCTACGGACCCCAGAACCCTCCAGACCCCAGAACCTACCGGACCCCAGAACCTACCGGACCCCAGAACCTACCGTACCCCCAGACCTTCCGGGCCTCAGACCACTGGACCCCAGAACCTACCGGACTCCAGAACCTGCATGCCCCAGACCTTCCCGGCCTCAGACCACTGGACCCCAGAACCTACCGGACTCCAGAACCTACCTGACCCCCAGACCTTCCGGGCCTCAGACCACTGGACCCCAGAACCTACCGGACTCCAGAACCTACTGTACCCCAGACCTTCCGGGCCTCAGACCACTGGACCCCAGAACCTACCGGACTCCAGAACCTACCGTACCCCCAGACCTTGGGCCTCAGACCACTGGACCCCCAGAACCTACCGGACTCCAGAACCTACCGTGCCCCAGACCTTCCGGGCCTCAGACCACTGGACCCCAGAACCTACCGGACTCCAGAACCTACCTGCAGACCTTCCGGGCCTCAGACCACTGGACCCCAGAACCTACCGGACTCCAGAACCTCGTACCCCAGACCCCGGGCCTCAGACCACTGGACCCCAGAACCTCCGGACTCCAGAACCTACGTACCCCAGACCTTCCGGGCCTCAGATCACTGGACCCCAGAACCTCCGGACTCCAGAACCTACCGTACCCCAGACCTTCCGGGCCTCCAGACCACAGGACCCCAGAACCTACGGACTCCAGAACCTACCGTACCCCAGACCTTCCGGGCCTCAGACCACTGGACCCCAGAACCTACCGGACTCCAGAACCTACCGTACCCCAGACCCGGGCCTCAGACCACTGGACCCCAGAACCTACCGGACTCCAGAACCTACCGTACCCAGACCTTCCGGGCCTCCAGACCACTGGACCCCAGAACCTCCGGACTCCAGAACCTACCGTACCCCAGACCTTCCGGGCCTCAGACCACTGGACCCCCAGAACCTACTGGACCCCAGAACTTCTGGGCCTCAGACCACTGGACCCCCAGAACCTACTGGACCCCAGAACTTCTGGGCCTCAGACCACTGGACCCCAGAACCTACCCAGACCCCAGAACCTACCAGACCCCAGAACCTACCAGACCCCAGAACCCACCGGACCCCAGAACCCACTGACCCCAGAACCTACCAGACCCCAGAACCCTGACCCCAGAACCTACTGGACCCCAGAACCTACCGTACCCCAGACCTCGGGCCTCAGACCACTGGACCCCAGAACTAACGGACTCCAGAACCTACCGTCCCCAGACCTTCCGGGCCTCAGACCACTGACCCCCAGAACCTACTGACTCCAGAACCTACTGCACCCAGACCTTCCGGGCCTCAGACCACTGGACCCCAGAACCTACCGACTCCAGAACCTACCGTACCCCAGACCTTCCGGCCCTGACCACTGACCCCAGAACCCACTGGACCCCAGAACTTCTGGGCCTCAGACCACTGGACCCCAGAACCTACTTGACCCCAGAACTTGGGCCTCAGACCACTGGACCCCAGAACCTACCAGACCCCAGAACCACCAGACCAGAACCACCAGACCCCAGAACCTACTGGACCCCAGAACCCACGGACCAGAACCCACTGGACCCCAGAACCTACCGGACCCCAGAACCTACTGGACCCCAGAACCTACTGGACCCCAGAACCTACCGGACCCCAGAACCCACCAACCCCTGAACCTACCGACCCTACCTACGGACCCCTACCTACCGGACCCCTACTCACTGGACCCCTACCTATCGGACCCCTACCTACTGACCCCTCACCGGGACCCCTCACTGGTCGGACCCCTACCTACCTCAGTAACCATTGGATCGAGGCTCAGTGACCCCTGACCATACAGACTAAAACCCATGGACCCCAGTCCTTATATGAGGTAGGTTAGGTTAGGTTAACCCAGGCTAGGTAGGTTAGGCCAGGCTAGGCAGGAAGTTAGCTGTAGGCTAGGTTGGGGCTAGGCAGGTTAGGTTAGGTTAGGCAGGTTAGGTTAGACTAGGTAGGTTGGGTTAAGGAACTAGGCAGGGTAGGGCAGGTTAGCTAGCTAGGCAGGTCAGGTTAGGTTAGCCAGGTTGAGAGGCTAGGTAGGCTAGGTTAGACCAGGTAGGTGCAGGCAGGCTAGCTGATCAAGCTAGGCCAGATTAGGTTAGGCTAGACTAGGTTAGGTTAGGTTCAGGCTAGGCTAGGCAGGTTAGGTTAACCTAGGCTGATCAGTTAGGTTAGGCCAGGTGAGGCTAGGGTTAGGCTTGGGTAGGTTAGGTTAGGTTAGGCTAGCAGAAGTGTAGGTTAGGCTAGATTAGGTTAGGTTAGGCTAGGCTAGATTAAGTTAGGGCTATTAGGTTAGGTTAGACTAGGTTAGGTTAGGTTAGGTTAGGCTTCAATGTGTTATAGCCGAATAAAATAGAGGCCCATTTACCTTCGATCACCCCCATTTAGCTGCAAGAGGATCCTTACACATGGCTACTGAGAACACCTATTGATCGACCGAGCCATCAACACCAAACAATGGTCGTGTGTGTGTGTGATCCCAGGCCAACTCCACAAGCGACCTCCAGCCGCCTCTAACCTTGGTCTTCACAACCCATAATAATCACCTCTTATGGCAACCTAACCTAACCTAACCTAAACTAACCTAACCTAACCTTGACCTAACCGGACCTAACTAACCCTAACCTTACCTTACCTAACCTAAACTAACCTAACCTAACCCAACCTAACTTAACCTGACCTAATATAACCTATTCCGACCTAACCTAACCTAACCTAAACTAACCTAATTTATTCCTATGTAGAATAATAACTCATCCAAGGTGAATCTGGTCCACAACTAATCTAACAGTATCACACACACACACACACACACACACACACAGGAGAATAAGGCCATTCTTTCCTCGTCTAGGATTCATTTACGTTAATCAAGAGGAGATCCTCAGTACAATTACCTGTCTTGTTCTGGCAGTAAAGATTGGGCGTCTTCCATCTGTTCCAAATGACGTTTCTTTCACAGGAGGAATTTACGGATTTTTCTGGAAACTTGAGATTTAGATGAATGGAAGATGATGGTGAGGTTGGTGATGAGTGATGGTGAGAGGTGAAGTGAATGACGGTGAGGATGGGGGAGTTGGGGGTGATGGTGGGAGGTGAGGGTGAGGATGGAGGTGATGAGGGTGACGGTGATGGTGAAGGGGTGATGGTGAGGAGGATGGGTGGAGTGATGGTGAGATGGTGGGATGGAGATGATGGTGAGGGTTGATGGTGAGGGATGGAGGTGATGGTGCGGAGGAGGTGAGGGTGACTGATGGTGGGGAGGTGAGGGGTGATGGTGGGGGGAGGGTGAGGGTGATGGTGGGGGAGGGAGGAGGGTGATGGGAGGGGGTGATGGTGAGGTGATGGTGAGGATGGAGGATGGTGAGGAGGGAGGTGGTGATGGTCAGAAGTGAGGATGATGGTGAGGAGGAGGTGAGGGAGGTGATGGTGAGGATGGAGGATGGTGGGAGGAGGTGGGGTGACTGATGGAGGGGAGGTGAGGGGTGATGGTGAGGGAGGGAGGGAGGAGGTGATGGTGGGAGGAGGTGAGGGTGACTGATGGTGAGAGGTGGTGATGTGGGGGAGGTGAGGGGAGGGAGGTGAGGTGATGGTGAGGAGGGTGGGGTGGTGATGGCGTGGTTCATTACAGACTCCCCTTGTTCATGACGTTACCTGCCCCTACGCTCACATAACGTTTACACCTATATAATTACCTACCTACCACATAACATTACCACTATACCACATTACCTGCTACACACATATCATTACACCTACACTACCTGCACACTACCATAACTACACTACACATAACATTACTACCACATAACATTACCTACCTACTCTACATATTACCTGCACCCCTACACTACATAACGTTTACTACTTCTCACACATTCTGCACCCCTACACTACCACACTACCACATTACCCCTCACCCTTAACATTACCTGCACCTACTACCACATAACGTTACCTACCCCCTACACTACCACATAACGTACCTGCACCCTACTACCCCCTGCACCCTACACTACCCATAACGTTACCTGCACCCCTACACTACCACATAACATTTACCACCCTACACTACCCACATACCTACTACCCACATAACATTCTACCATACACTACCATATAACATTTACCTGCACCTCTACACTACCATATAACATTACCTGCCCCCTACACTATCACATAACATTACCTGCACCCTACACTATCACAACATTACACTCTACTACACATAACATTGCCCTACACTACCACATAACATTACCTGCACCCTACTACCTGTACCCCACACATAACATTACTACACCCCTACACTACACACATACACGTTACTTGCACCCACACTACCACATAACATTACCTACACCCCACACTACCCTTATCACACCTACCTACCACATAACATTACCTCCCTCACTACCATTACATACACTACATACCTGCACCCCCACACACATAACGTTCCCACACCCCTACACTACCACATAACGTCCTGCACCCTACACTACCACATAACATTCTGCACCTCACCTCCAATTACACACTACCTCATAACATTACCCCACACCTACACATAATTCCTCATTGACCCACATTTTGGGAACCAACCTTTAATCTCTGTTTTTTATGAGGCGCAATTAAAAGCAAGAGTAAGTTAATTAACCCCACTGCTCAGGTGCTTCAGGTGAGGAGAATGTGTGTGTGTGTGTGTGTGTGTGTGTGTGTGTGTGTGTGTGTGTGTGTGTGTGTGTGTGTGTGTGTGTGTGTGTGTGTGTGTGTGTGTGTGTGTGTGTGTGTGTGTGTGTGTGTGTGTGTGTGTGTGTGTGTGTGTGTGTGTGTGTGTGTGTGTGTGTGTGTGTGTGTGTGTGTGTGTGTGTGTGTGTGTGTGTGTGTGTGTGTGTGTGTGTGTGTGTGTGTGTGTGTGTGTGTGTGTGTGTGTGTGTGTGTGTGTGTGTGTGTGTGTGTGTGTGTGTGTGTGTGTGTGTGTGTGTGTGTGTGTGTGTGTGTGTGTGTGTGTGTGTGTGTGTGTGTGTGTGTGTGTGTGTGTGTGTGTGTGTGTGTGTGTGTGTGTGTGTGTGTGTGTGTGTGTGTGTGTGTGTGTGTGTGTGTGTGTGTGTGTGTGTGTGTGTGTGTGTGTGTGTGTGTGTGTGTGTGTGTGTGTGTGTGTGTGTGTGTGTGTGTGTGTGTGTGTGTGTGTGTGTGTGTGTGTGTGTGTGTGTGTGTGTGTGTGTGAAACCTGGCCAATGGTGTGTCATGGACCAAAACATAAACGCCTGCAAAAAATTCGTAACCAGATCACGCCCAAAACTCTGTAGAAGGCTTTTCCTCCCAATCGAGAACTCCGTAATCAGAATGCCATTAAGTTTCTGCTCTCTCCCCTAAACCCTAAGCGCTTTCAACAATTCGCCTGACTAATCCGTCCTTGCTGCACTGGTTCCCCGCAACTTCCCAATTGCCATGAGAGCTTATGTGCCAGACTCAGGACTTAGAGAACACTCATCCAAGACTTTCGGTGAAGAGTGGGGGCAGTCTGTTTTGTACAGTGGGGACTCCTGTGTCTTAATGGTGACTTAGTGATGGGACAGTGTGGTGATTCACTGGGCATTAATGGTGACTTATAGTCGTGGGACAGTGTGGTGATTCACTGGGCATATGATGACTTATAGTGATGGGACAGTGTGGTGATTCACTGGGCATTAATGGTGACTTAACAGTGATGGGACAGTGTGGTGATTCACTGGGCATTAATGGTGACTTATAGTGATGGGACAGTGTGGTGATTCACTTGGGATTAATGGTGATTTATATTGGTGGGACAGTGTGGTGATTCACTGGGCATTAATGGTGACTTAACAGTGATGGGACAGTGTGGTGATTCACTGGGCATTAATGGTGACTTATAGTGATGGGACAGTGTGGTGATTCACTGGGCATTAATGGTGACTTATAGTGATGGGACAGTGTGGTGATTCACTGGGCATTAATGGTGACAACAGTGATGGGACAGTGTGGTGATTCTGGGCATTATGGTGACTTATAGTGATGGGACAGTGTGGTGATTCACTGGGGATTAATGGTGACTTATAGTGATGGGACAGTGTGGTGATTCACTGGGGATTAATGGTGACTTATAGTGGTGGGACAGTGTGGTGATTCACTGGAATTAATGGTGACTTATAGTGGTGGGACAGTGTGGTGATTCACTGGGATTAATGGTGACTTATAGTGATGGGACAGTGTGGTGATTCACTGGGCATTAATGGTGACTTATAGTGAGGTGGGACAGTGTGGTGATTCACTGGGGATTAATGGTGACTTATAGTGGTGGGACAGTGTGGTGATTCACTGGGGATTAATGGTGACTTATAGTGGTGGGACAGTGTGGTATTCACTGGGCATTAATGGTGACTTGTAGTGGGACAGTGTGGTGATTCACTGGGGATTAATGGTGACTTAATTGGTGGGACAGTGTGGTGATTCACTGGGGATTAATGGTGACTTATAGTGGTGGGACAGTGTGGTATTCACTGGGGATTAATGGTGACTTATAGTGGTGGGACAGTGGTGATTCACTTAATGGTGACTTATAGTGAGGGTGTGTGGTGATTCACTGGGCATTAATGGTGACTTATAGT